TTTGGGAGGCCGAGACGGGTGGATCACGAGGTCAGGAGATCGAGACCATCCTGGCTAACACAGTGAAACCCCATCTCTACAAAAAATACAAAAAAAAAATTAGCTGAGCAAGGTGGCAGGCACCTGTAATCTCAGCTATTTGGGAGGCTGAAGCAGAGAATAGCTTGAACCCAGGAGGCAGAGGTTGCAGTGAGCAGAGATTGCACCACTGCACTCCAGCCTGGCAACTGAGCAAGACTCCGTCTCAAAAAAAAAAGAACTATGAAAACTTAGAGAAGATTCAAATAAATTTTAAAATTGTCATATTATCCTGAGTGATCTACAGATTCAATAAACTTCTTATCAAAATTGCAGTGGTATTTTTTTCATAGTAATAGTTCTAATACATTTCTAAAAGTTAAATGAAACTAACTTTGATAGCCAAAGCAGTCTTGAGGAAACAGATCAAAGCAGAAGGATATCATACTTACAATTTCAAACTATATTTCAAGACTATCTGGTAATAAAAACAGAATGGACTGTGCAGAAAAAATGAACAAAAAGGCAACAAAAACTAATACTCTCACACATTTCAGATCTGATGCAAAAAGACAACTTAAAAAACAGTTTCAGTTTATCGAAATCATGCAGATATTTGTGTGTCCCCAAAACAATGGAAAAGCAGCTGCTTTTCTTAGGTACCATAAAGAAGAATTTAGCTCTCACTGTGAACTTGAAGGAAGCTCACGGAAATAATAGTAGAATTCTTAGAGAATTTAAAAGCATGAGACAGAAGATGTCCCTTTGTGAGCGAAAAATTAAATAAAATCAATCAATCAATACAGCTGCCCAGGAACTATTTCCTTTGGAACACAGCTTTCCAGATCACATTTTAAGGACTGGCTTTCTCTTTGACCTTGGGACCTCTTATCTGTATCATCTGTTGTATTCATTTTCACTCGCACCTACCTGAGGGGTTGGCAATCATCTTATGTCTCTTCAGAGGCAAAGGTTTTTCTCCTTGCTCCAGACGGGTGATCAGGTCTGGCTTGGAGACAATAATACCTGTTTTTTTTGTTTTTTGTTTTTTTTTTTTTTTTGAGACGGAGTCTTGCTCTGTCGCCCAGGCTGGAGTGCAGTG